AGAAATCCAACTCTGGAATTTTCAAAATAATATTATTGATGTTAATGAATATCGATGAACATATCATGAAACGAATAAGAATAGTCATTGTACTGAATGGAATTGTCAAGTTAAATGTTCTCGTATACTTCGCTTAACCGAATGAAATGTACTTATCGAACTCTATTACATAATCTAGAAAAATAAGCAAATATTCGTTTTTTTATCTTATTAATAACATAACACAAATACATAAGATTAAATAAACGACAAACATACACAAAATCACTTCTTTATCTAATATGAGCAAGAAAATATTTTAGAAAAGAAAGTATCAAACAGTCTACCTCAGCAAAAATATAGAAAAACTAAAGATTTTAATATTTGATTTAAAAAACCAACACCAATCAAAATCAATCAAAATCGTTAATTTCATCATCATCATCTTCTTCTTCTTCATTATGCATATCTACATGATTATCACAGAAATATACTGAATTAACTTCTATACTGAGTTTAATTCTACAACAATTGTACAACCACTATGACCAATTATCTTTAGATTAAATCCATTGAAATTGTTTACTTTGATAGCAATATTTAATGGATTTATTTTGACTTAGATCACTTTCAGAAACGTCACTTTTAATTCATAATTCATTTAGTTTTATTGAAGTTTTACTCATTTGAAACTAAAAATACCAATATTAGTGAGTTTTTATCTCCCAGTAAATAGATTAATTTTGATTAATGTTAGGAAATGATTATTTTCGAGTTATTGGCATAATATTTCCTTGAAAACTTATTATAAACAATGAACAAGTTCGATGAGAATATCAGCTAACACTCTGATACAATATATTGATTTGTCGATGTGGCTGTGAGTATTAGTTTCCTCTTCAGTGACACCCACAGACCGATACTCATATACATCGTCACATTATTTGACTATTATTGTCTTGTCGATGTCGAAAACCATCAACAAGAAGTTTATATTTATCTTTTGATGGTTGTATAATTGGCATACTTAAGAAAAGATATATGTACAATAATTGTTCATGTTTTCTTTCTCTCGATATATGTATTATCTGGCTTGCGAATGCTCATCCTTTTCTTCCTTTTTTTGAAAAAGGCTCCTCCTTCTCGTCCATTCGATCATGACTTCTTTCTTGTCCTCTTTTTCGCTGTTTTAGTTACGAAACTCAGCGGTAGCGGAACTTGTCAAAATAGAAATGGAGAATTCTGCGATGTAGTCATGTTTCTTCATGGTCTGAGATCAAAATCGTTGCGTAGGATTCGATCGGATTCGGCCAAATCCGATTGAATCATGTTTAAAGTTCACTGAAGCCCTGGATAGATTACGTTAGCCGGATCATATCGAAATGCCGGTTGTTCACACGCTTTTCGTCAGTTGGATCTGAATGACAGAATCCTGTTGTGTAATTTCACCAACTTCAGACAGGATCCATCTGGATTTTGTTAGATTCGATGAATTTTTCCATTGGATCAAAGAATCGGATTATTTGCCCTAAGGTAGCTATCTTTCGTGCATCCTCTTATCAACAACAGATTTCTGGTAAGAACTCTATTTCTCCTGCAGAATTGAAGGAAAATTCTGATCCAGCACCAGAATTTGCATCTTTTGTAGCAGCTCGATATTAGTATTTTTAAGCTCATGCGAATAATTCCCCTTCAGTAGTTGAATGTAGTATTATGTTAGGTTGATATTGTGCCATAGTGTAACAAATGTGTACTGCGAAGTGAGACAAATAAAATAACTGTTTAGCAAATCGAAGTCTAGGGTGTGGGTGCAGGTATGAATGTCGGTGTGAGTAAGGGTATAGGCGTGAGGTAGGTGAGGATGAGGATGTGAATGATGAAGGGACACACACCGACACCCGCATTAGTATTCAGAGCCCATCCCCACTCACACCCACACCCTATATCCACATTCACCCACCCACACCTACACTCACC